TTCCTCTCCCACTCCTTCCATCCGCCTCGCGCCTCCCTCCCTGCTGCCTACCCCCTTCCTCTCCCACTCCTTCCATCCCGCCTCCGCCCTCTCCCTCCCTCCCTGCCTCCCCCCTTCCTCTCCTCCCTGCTGCCTACCCCTCACTCTCCCACTCCTCCTTCCCTACTGCCTCGCCCTCTCCCTCCCTCCCTGCTGCCTCCCCCCTCGCTCTCCCACTCCTTCCCATCCCGCCTCCGCCCTCTCCCTCCCTCCCTGCTACCAGCCCCCCTCGCTCTCGCTCCTTCCACCCCGCTTCCCCCTCTCCCTCCCTCCCTGCTGCCTCCCCCCTCCGCTCTCCCACTCCTTCCATCCCTCCTCCCTCACCCACTCCTTCCCTACTGCCTCCGCCCTCTCACTCCTCCCTGCTATCAGCCCCCTCACTCACCCACTCTTACCATCCCGCCTCCGCCCTCTCCCCTCCCTCCCTGCTGCCTCCCCCTCCCTGCTGCCTGCCCCCTCCGCTCGCCGGCCAACCTGCTCACCGCGGAATCCTCTGCTCTCGCCACCTGCTATGGACTCTGAACGAACCTCATCGGCGGCAACTTTTACCTCCTTTGATGGCCAATCCGCGCCACTTACGTCATAATTACGTCATATATGGTACACGAACGCTGTTTTTTTTTTCTCTCTCGTCACATATTGACACGCATATCTGGCCATAACACAATTACGTCATCCATAAAATATTCATGTCAATAGCAGTCACATTTTTTCTCTATTCATTGCAATTTGTTTCGTATATTATGAAACAGTTACATTATGTGCCGCTTATTAGTCAGATTTTTTTTTCATTATCCAGAACATGTTTGCTTAATCCATGGCATATCATTTATGCCTTTTTTTACAAATTGAATGCCTTTTCCTTAATTCATGGCATATTATTTATCCTTTTTGACAAATTAAATGCCTTTTCTTAATCCATGGCATATTATTTATCCTTTTGACAAATTAAATGCCTTTTTCTTAATCCATGGCATACCATTTATCCTTTTGACAAATTAAATGCCTTTTTCTTAATCCTATGGCATACCATTTATCCTTGACAAATTAAATGCCTTTTTCTTAATCCATGGCATACCATTTATCCTTTTGACAAATTAAATGCCTTTTTCTTATCCATGGTATATTAATTCCTTAGACAAATTGAATGCCTTTTTCTTAATCCATGGCATACCATTTTATCCTTTGACAAATTAAATGCCTTTTTCTTAATCCATGCCATATTATTTATCCTTTTTGACAAATGTTATGCCTTTTGCTTAATCCATGGCATATTATTTATCCTTTTTGACAAATTGAATGCCTTTTCCTTAATCCATGGCATACCATTTATCCTTTTGACAAATAAATGCCTTTTTCTTAATCCATGGCATACCATTTATCCTTTTTGACAAATTAAATGCCTTTTGCTTAATCCATGCCATATTATTTATCCTTTTGGCAAATTAAAATGCCTTTTTCTTAATCCATGGCATACCATTTATCCTTTTTGACAAATCGAATGCCTTTTCCTTAATTCATGGCATATTATTTTATCCTTTTGACAAATTAAATGCCTTTTTCTTAATCCATGGCATATTAATTCTTTAGACAAATTGAATGTTTTTACCTGTGCAATTCCCTTTGAAAACCTGGATGTTCTGTGTTTATTTACACAGCCATAAACTTTCCCAATTTTGCTTCGTACCTTAGGAACTCGCCTATATATAGAAGATAGAGAGAGAGAGAAGAAGAGAGAGAGAGAGATAGCCTATATATATACATATATATATAGACTTCCTTTTCCTCATTTCCTATCGAACTTTATTTCCTTCCTTATTCCAGTGTCCTTCGTCTTTCTCGGACTCAATTCTTACCATGAAGAACCAGCGAAAAGGCCTTCGGAATATTCGTGGGTTTTCTTATTCCTCCATCCGTTGGTTTATTTGGAATCTATTCGACGTGAATCCTGCAGGTTTCCATTCCTAAATTCCGCCTCCATTCCTATTTTCCTTCTCCATTCCTAAATTATATCTTCATTCCTATTTTCCTTCTCATTCCATTTTCTTCTCCATTCCTATTTTCCTTCTCCATTCCTATTTTCCTTCTCATTCCGATTTCCCTTCTCCATTCCCCTTTTCCTTCTCCATTCCTAAATTCCGCCTCCATTCCATCTATATTCCTAAATTTCCTCCAGTCCTGAATTCCACCTCCATTCCTATATTCCATCTCTATTCCTATTTTCCATTTCTATTCCTAAATTCCATCTCTATTCCTCCACATCCTATTCCTAAATTCCAGCTCCATTCCTAAGATAACATCTCTATTCCTAAATCCCACCTCCATTCCTATAAATCCCTTCTCCTTTTCCAAATACCGTTTCCATCACTTCCATTTACATCGGACTCCATTCCATTCCCATTTCGTTGCGTTCCCTCTCCATTCCTGAATCCGATCCCGTTCCGTTCCACGACCATTCCAAGATTCCTCCTCCGTTCCAAAATTTCAGCGCCCACCCTCCACCTCGCACAGATTCCTCCTCCGTTCCAAAATTTCAGCTCCCTCCACCTGCGCACAGCGCTTCTTCAGTTATCAAACATTTGCATAATGCTTTACGGCGAATCGATGCTCGGCTGTTCATGAAAGCCAGTCTACATGTAAGCGTGAAATTTATACCGCTGTGCTACGTTGCAGCGTTGCGAGGTTTGCCCTGCGGCGTCTGGAGGTCCTGGTTGCGAGTGGCAGGGGGTGGCGCGTGTCGTTCTCCTGTCGGGGACGGAGTCTGGGGTCGTATCGTGGTCTGAGCGGGGAATGACGTGCTTTTGAGGGGTACGGTCGCGCGGTGCTGGGGGCTTTGGGGACGAGCAAGAAATTATCTGGTGATTTTGAGCTGTATTTTTGGTATTATCTCTGTCTGTCTGTCTGTCTGTCTG